ACAACCCGGAAAATACAGTATGGGTTACTATACGTTGTGCTTTAAGCGGGATTCACAGAAGCTTTTTTGCAATGCGACAGGCGCGAGACCGGGAAAACCCCAAATCGCAGCCTTGTCACACCCCACGCAACTGGGCCATCGCAGGCCATCGCAGAAGTTGAGCTTGGCTCAACTTTTGCGATGCGACGCGATGCGACAAGCGATTTGGCGTACGATTTTGACCTTTTCTACAGCAAAGTTGTACAAAGGCTCAAGAGTTGCCTATAAATTTGTACAAGTTGTATCAAACCGCGCGAATATCATGGTGACGTAGCCAAATCAGCAAGATGTTGTCGCATCACTGACTTCTTCTGTGAATGGTATTTCACGAGTTCGCATCGCACGCGTCCGTCGCAGATCGCGTCGCATCGCGTGTCGCATCGCAAAAAAGCTTCCGTGAATCCCGCTTTAGCCTGGCTGGATAGTTGTATATTATTATTAAAAAATTTACGTGAGGTCTGCAGCTGTTGAAGCCCCAGGAGGGGGATGGGGGGGGGGGGTGACAGTATGCACCAGTGTGTTGAGGCCTGGTTGACTAGACTTGCAACCCCCCCCCCCCCCCAACACACACACACACACACATTCAACTCTCTCCATTTGTTTCTACCCGTGTCTTTCTGCAGGTTTATGTCCTGATGTCGGCAACCCAGGCCTATCCTCACAGCAGCGTTTGGATGCCTACTTCAGCTGCATTCGCTCTTTCAACGCCGATTTCAGTCAGACATACCGCTATGCCGTGGCCAATGGTGCTTTCCTTGGACGATGTCCTCAATAGTTGTATACTAGTTCTGAGCACCCATGCCGGGCCATGCCGGGCCATGCCGGGCCATGCCGGGCCATGCCGGGCCATGCCGGGCCATGCCGGGCCATGCCGGGCCATGCCGGGCCATGCCGGGCCATGCCGGGCCATGCCGGGCCATGGTCACCTGTCCATCCTGCAGTACATGTGCATTTATATCAGCTGTCAGCTGTCAGTTGTACTGATGATTTCCATGGTAACGGTAATGCATACTACTCATACTACGTGCAATAACATGTTTTCAACTGCTGTAACCTGTGTTTGTGTGTGTAGCTATGGCAACAGTTGAATAAAGAGATCTACAGACAAAACTCTGAGTGGTACTACAGCTAGCCATCAAGTGTCCTGCAGGGGACTCAACATTTTAGTTGTGAAAATCAAGTTGCACCAGCGTACCTGCAATGGTGCACCTGCTGTGTGTGATGCTGTTGCTGTGTATGCAACTGTGTATGCTGCTGGGGGGGGGGGGGGCATGGCCAGAGCTGAGTAGAGTTTGAGACTCGTTTCATGGATATTCCCTTTCTATTGGCACTTTGCAACCATGGCAACTCGCAAGCATAGTTCCTGACGTTCATATTGACACTGCCATCCTCCCCCAGTATACAGTCACTACCCAGTATACAGTCACTACCCAGTATAAAGTCACTACCCAGTATACAGCCACTACCCGGTGTACAGTCACTACCCAGTATACAGTCACTACCCAGTATACAGTCACTACCCAGTATACAGTCACTACCCAGTATACAGTCACTACCCAGTATACAGTCACTACCCAGTATAAAGTCACTACCCAGTGTACAGTCACTACCCAGTATACAGTCACTACCCAGTATACAGCCACTACCCGGTGTACAGTCACTACCCAGTATACAGTCACTACCCAGTATACAGTCACTTCCCAGTATACAGTCACTACCCAATATACAGTCACTACCCAGTATACAGTCACTACCCAATATACAGTCACTGCCCAGTATACAATCACTACCCAGTATACAGTCACTACCCAGTATACAGTCACTACCCAGTATACAGTCACTACCCAGTATACAGTCACTACCCAGTATACAGTCACTTCCCAGTATACAGTCACTACCCAATATAAAGTCACTACCCAGTATACAGTCACTACCCAGTATACAGTCACTATCCAGTATACAGTCGCTACCCAGTATACAGTCGCTACCCAGTATACAGTCACTACCCAGTATACAGTCACTACCCAGTATACAGTCACTACCCAGTATACAGTCACTGCCCAGTATACAGTCACTACCCAGTATACAGTCACTACCCAGTATAAAGTCACTACCCAGTATAAACGTTTTACTTGTACGTAAAAAGTTGCTTTTTAGTGTATGCGTCACTTTCAAGCAAGTCCCGATCAGTTCCATTGCACACTTGAAAAGACATTTTCGTTTTAATAAAATACTCATAAAATTTTCTATGGCAACTGCCGCCTCACCGGTGCTGCATGGAGATAGTGCGGGAAAATTAAAAAAATTTTAAACTTTTCTCTCCGAGCTTGGTCTGCAGAAATGTTTGTCGAGTGTTGGTGAAATGCTATCACTTCGACATGGATCTGCGACTTCCATCGAATGCCATGTCCAGGCCAACACTCCTAGCATACAGATTGAGGTCTTCAGCGATCTCTTTCTCCTTCTGTGACCTCTTCTTCATCGTTCCACTTTTCTCCGGCTGGTTGTGTGCCCACAGCTCGATCAACTTCCCCTCCCTCTCATCATTGAACACAACTTTCGGCATGCTGAACTTCATCTTCTCAAACTAGCTTCAACGCGACAGAAGGAAACAAACAACGTGCAACTACTCAAAACAAGGAACAAATCGAAAGGAAAAAAGAGCTGACGACAAGACTCAAGAAGTCTCACGGAAGGACAGGTGCAAAGCAAACTACGGTCCAGAAATGCAAATAAAACATAAACGTACCTTTGTATACCCGTCTGGAGTTTGCTGAATACGTTTGCGCAACATTTTAGGTTTCCCGCGAAAAGCAGACCGTTTGCATGGTAACTTTTACAGGAACGCAACAAAAATGGGATTTTCTATGTAGTGTGCAAGGGGCCTAACTGTTTCTATTTTTCTCATGAACTGAAAATTTCAAATAAGTTGATCGAGCGCAAAAAAATTGAAGGAACGCAGCCTCGGGATTTGCAAAACTACCACATGACAATCATGTTTCTCCATGGTAATTTGCTGACAAAAATGTTTAAAGTCGTCACTGGAGTGCAGTGTGCTTGGAAAGGCTTTTTCAAGTACTTTTGTCTAGTTTTGAACGCGACATTCGCGTCAACCTTTCAAGTAGTGTGAGTACAGCCTAAGCATGTACATGTACATGTACTTGAAAACTTACTTCTCCACTACACACAAGTCAGGTTCGAAAGTTAGTTCGTGCCCGAAAGTTAGTACGGGTGTGGCCACTAAATTCGAAAGTGAGTACATGCTTTTTACGAACTTTTACGGTAAAGTGAAAAATACGGTAAGGCTGTACTCACACTACTTGAAAGTTTGACGCGAATGTCGCGTTCAAAACTAGACAAAAGTACTTGAAAAGCCTTTCCAAGCACACTGCACTCCAGTGACGACTTGAAACATTTTTGTCAGCAAATTACCATGGAGAAACATGATTGTCATGTGGTAGTTTTGCAAATCCCGAGGCTGCGTTCCTTCAATTTTTTTGCGCTCGATCAACTTATTCGAAATTTTCAGTTCATGAGAAAAATAGAAACAGTTATATCTTGCTTGGATCGTGGAGTTCATTCGCCTCGCGAAGAAGTAGCACATCGTCGACGTCGACGGATGAAGAGGTTTCTCTCCACAGCTCGATGAGCTTCTTCTCCAAGTCGTCAGAAAACACTACGTGAGGCATGATGTCGGTACAAAAGCAATGGTACAAAAGAAATGCGACAGAAACGGCAATCAAAACAACGGGAAGCTACTGGAAGAAAGAAGACGGAAAATACTCGGAAAAAACACCACAGAATTCAGAAATGACAGGCAAAAAAAGGAAACTACAAGTATATGTACAGGAGCAGTACGACCACGCACGAGGAAACAAAGCATGAAAAATATTCTGGAGCCTTTCAACGTACAATAGTACTCCGGCCTCCTGACCTCACACAGCTTTCCAAACGGCTTGAAAGCAAAAACATCGTAGAAGAGGGTTCCGTTTCCGCTGAAACGTTTCAAGCGGCTTTCAAGGGCTTTTTCATTTTCGCAACCGTCGCCGTGGCAACATTCACACGTAAGTCACTTGTATGCGGTTTTTCAAGTAGTGTGAGTACAGCCTTAGGCTGTACTCACACTACTTGAATGGTTGACGCGAATGTCGCGTTCAAAACTAGACAAAAGTACTTGAAAAAGCCTTTCCAAGCACACTGCACTCCAGTGACGACTTGAAACATTTTTGTCAGCAAATTACCATGGAGAAACATGATTGTCATGTGGTAGTTTTGCAAATCCAGAGGCACGTGCCTTCAATTTTTTGCGCTCGATCAACTTATTTGAAATTTTCAGTTCTTGAGAAAAATAGAAACAGTTATATCTTGCTTGGATCGTGAGTTCATTCGCCATGCCTCGCGAAGAAGTAGCACATCGTCGACGTCGACGGATGAAGAGGTTTCTCTCCACAGCTCGATGAACTTCTTCTACAAGTCGTCAGAAAACACTACGCAAGGCATAATGTCGGGAGAAAAGCAATGGTACAAAAGAATGCGACAGAAACGGCAATCAAAACAACGGGAAGCTACTGGAAGAAAGAAGACGGAAAATACTCGGAAAACACCAAAGAATTCAGAAATGACAGGCAAAAAAAGGAAACTACAAGTATATGTACAGGAGCAGTACGACCACGAGGAAACAAAGCATGAAAAATATTCTAGAGCCTTTCAACGTACAATAGTACTCCGGCCTCCTGACCTCACACAGCTTTCCAAACGGCTTGAAAGCAAAAAAACCTCGTAGAAGAGGGTTCCGTTTCCACTGAAACCTTTCAAGCGGCTTTCAAGGGCTTTTTTCATTTTCGCAACCGTCACCGTGGCAACATTCACACGTAAGTCACTTGTATGCGGTTTTCAAGTAGTGTGAGTACAGCCTTGCGGTGCTAAGGAAAGAGTGTAAGTGTTGTGACATATTCTTTCTGAATGTAAACCTGTGCACTGAGACAGAATGTATGTCACAACACTCGCACTCTTTCCTTAGTACCGTAACTGTATTGTACACTTAATTTGTTCTCTCTCTCTCTCCCTTTCTCTCTCTCTCTCTCTCTCCCTTTCTCTCTCTCTTTCTCTCTCTCTCTCCCTCTCTCTCTCTCTCTCTCTCTCTCTCTCTCTCTCTCTCTCTCTCTCTCTCTCTCTCTCTCTCTCTCTCTCTCTCTCTCTCTTTCTTTCTCTCTCTCTCTCTCCTCTCTCTCTCTCTCTCTCTCTCTCTCTCTCTCTCTCTCTCTCTCTCTCTCTCTCTCTCTCTCTCTCTCTCTCTCTCTCCCTCTCCCTCTCTCTCTCTCTCTCTCTCTCTCTCTCTCTCTCTCTCTCTCTCTCTCTCTCTCTCTCTCTCTCTCTCTCTCTCTCTCTCTCTCTCTCTCTCTCTCTCTCTCTCTCTCTCTCTCTCTCTCTCTCTCCCTTTCTCTTTCTTACACACTGGTGTTGGTGTTCTTTTTCCCGGCATATAACCATTGCTGTTGTGATTCTCGTATCCTTTATCAAGTTTGCTTTTCTCTACTTCCATTGTGTCCTCTTCTTGCAAAGTTTATAATATTGGTTTGTTTATAGCAAAGAGGCAGTGCCCTGTTATCGCACTTTCTGACTGCTTATTATCTTGTTACAGTCGTGGATAGTTGCTTCATAACTCGTTCCCTTGTGTTTTCTTCTACTTTTACATAATTATAATTATTTTATTATAATTAGCGGTTTGTGCTTTCAATAAAGCATGTTTCAGTAGTTATACCAGTGTGTCTAGCAGTGCTGCCAAATAATTTTCGCCCAAAATCGGACACCCTTCACCGCCAAGGCTGGCCACATGGTGCGAATATTTCTCCTCGGCAATTTTTTTTACAGGGAATTCAAAATATCGCCTAAACACCATGAAAATTCGCTTCGTTGCCATGGTTACCCGGAGGTGTCATGACTTTTGTAATGATGAGTGTGGTCGCACACTGACTCCGTACAGACTGTCAGCGTACATGCCATCCAGCCTGATCCAGGCATGTTACTTTGCACTTCCACAGCCAAGCGCTAGCCTTTTTAGAAGCAAAATTTAATGTACAGTGATTTGTGCCTTCAGTTGCGCTGAAAAGTGAAAGTACAGGACTTCTGCATAGGAAAGTAATGATCTCCGACATTTTGGCTGCTTTTCGGACGTTTCCCTTTTCGGACCGGTTTTCGGAAGAGCCTTCAAAAATCGGACACTGTCCGAAAAATCGGACGGTTTGGCAGCACAGGTCTAGTAACACAGCAACAAAGGCTGCAGCGTGAACGGTAACATGCTAACCATGTCTAATAATTATAATACTTCCAGGTATTTTTAAAGGGGAAGTTAAGGCAAAAATTAAAATTTCACCAGTTGTAGTCTTCGGGGTGCTGAGTCGAATGGTCTTGGTCTGAGAAAGCTGAGACGCTCCCTTCCTACTTGAATCCCAATCGAACTCGCGCACTTCCACCGAAACTGGGTGACTGCGCCCTACTAGATGGGGATTTGTATGCAAAATGTCACTAAAAGCGCCATTTCGTTCTTATAAAAGCACGGATGACCGCGATTGGCCAATATGTTGTAGTCTTTTGGACGCTGAGTCGACTGGTTTTGGTCCGAAAAGGCTGCGATGCAGCGTTCCTCCTATATTCCCAATCGAACATGGTTGAACAAGTGGTCACGTGCTCCTGGTTGCCCAAATCACCTGGTCACCACGCCAGCAGGCGACAACTTTCACACCAAGGTTCAACTCGAGTGACAGGACTGCACCCAAAAAAGGTCAAACAGGCTAGTAAGTTGTACCCTGCAGGCACGGTGACCAGGTGACTGGCGTACACAGGAGCACGTGACCGCTTGTTCAACCATGTTCGATTGGGAATAAAGGAGGAACGCTGCATCGCAGCCTTTTCGGACCAAAACCAGTCGACTCAGCGTCCAAAAGACTACAACATATGGGCCAATCGCGCTCATCCGTGCTTTTATAAGAACGAAATGGCGCTTTTAGTGACATTTAGCATACAAATCCCCATCTAGTAGGGCGCAGTCACCCAGTTTCGGTGGAAGTGCGCGAGTTCGATTGGGATTCAAGTAGGAAGGGAGCGTCTCCGCTTTCTCGGACCAAGACCATTCGACTCAGCACCCCGAAGACTACAACTGGTGAAATTTTAATTTTTGCCTTAACTTCCCCTTTAAGGATAACTACTGGAAGCCTTTGTTGCTGTGTTACTAGACACACTGGTATAGCTACTGAAACATGCTTTATTGAAAGCACAAACCGATAATAGCGTACGACTACTTCAAGTAGTAACTAGTATTTCTTTGCACCCCTCCCCTCCCCCCCCCCCCCCCCTCCCTACACACCGTGCTTTGGAACCGTCATGTATGCATCGGGGCAATGGTTGTGCTGAAGATTTTACCCACCACGAATAAAAAACTGTTACTTGCTGGTGACAGCTAGCACATAGAATAATTCATTTCGAACTACATGACTATACAACTGTACAACTGTAGATCTACTGTACAAGCATGTTGAACGTAACGTCGTTGCTGAAGCTTACCTGAGCTGACATCAGCACAAGTCTCCAATGACCATGACCATGATGACGACTTGATTTCAGAAACTGTCATGATTGCAAGGGCCAAGGCCAAGGGCTTGGTCTCTGCGGCGATGTCACACGTGAGCGCCAACCCACACATGTTTGTAGCGCGATGACCATGATGACAGTACCGAGGCCTTGGCGGCTTCAACAATGAAATCAATAACAGTGAAAATCAACAACTCACTGAATCATAGCCGTCTTGATAATTATTAATAATACTCGGACAGCGGACAACCACTGAACTAGTGTGGTAGTGACCCGGGGCCGGGGCCGGGGAGCTCGTGACACAACACTAAAAATAAATGCAGCAGTCAGGTTTCGAGGTAAACAGACAACACAGCAGATCAGAGGAAACACTGATTCAGATCAAAATACATCGCGCCTAGATCATAGATGGGCGGAAAAAATTGTTCGTAAAGCTGCGATATAGATGTTGTTTGTGGAGTGAGGTAGCGCTAAGCCCTCCATCAGTCCAAGGCTCCAGCCGGGAGAAAAGTTGCGTGTAGATCTACGATCGCTTCATGACCTTTTGTTCATCACACAAATGAGACGGAATCGTTGCGACAAGTAACAAAAAAGGTTTACCTGACTTTCCAGTGGAGCGTGATTTCGAGCAGGTGCTAGCAGCAACACCAGGGCACGCTGCTGTGAACTCAAACTAACTTGATTTGGACGAGCAACGCACAGTGAAGCATAGCGCACGATCCGGCAGTTCACCGCAATGTCGGATAACGAGGTGCAAGTCACTGAAGCAGTCGATGGTATTGGTGAGAAAGCCGAAGGAGACAACACTGACAACAGCACACCAAGTGAGAATGCTGCATCCGGCGATTCGAACAAGGAAGAGAAAGAAAAGGTTGTAGCGCAAGAAGTGTATTTCGAAGATGAAGATGGTGGCGATGGGAACTTGGACGCAGCGTTGGCTGATGCCCTGGCTATGGAAGAGAAAATGGCAGGCGTTGTGCTCGATGGCGTCCATTTGCAAGAGTTGATTGATATCGACTTAGCAGCCGTCGTTCTGGATTGTGGATCAGCCAACTGGTCTGTGGGATTTGGTGGCGAGGATTGTCCAAGATCAATCTTCCCAGCTGTAATGGGACGACCGCGGAAGAGAAAGAGGCTTGGGAGCAGCGCTAGTGGTACAGCTGCTGCTGCTGTTGCTGCTGCTGAATTGAATGATGCCATTGATGGGGTGTCCCTTGCAGAGGTCTGCTACATTGGTGACGAGTTTGAACAGCAAGATGACGTGGATAGCTTCATGGCAGAGAGTCCCTTACGCCATGGTCGTGTCAAGAACTGGGATGATATGGAGATGGTGAGGAAATACAGACTAACTCAGTGGAATGGGGTTGTGATGTAAATACAGACTACCTCAGTGGAATGGGGTTGTGATGTAAATACTTCAAGTACGGACTAAGTCAGTGGAATGGGGTTGTGATGTAAATACTTCAAGTACGGACTAAGTCAGTGGATTGGGGTTGTGATGTACAGTGCTGCCCAATGAAATCCAGTCTGCAGTCGTGTCACTCAAGTTTGCGCCTTGCATCATTTTGCAGCCCAGTGTTGGCAGGTCTAGGGCTGTGAAACGCCCGGCGCGACTTGAGTGACGCGGCTGCAGGCTGGATTTCATTGAGCAACACTGTACACAATGTCATCATGCCGCTCTGCCTTCGTCACAGTTCCTGGCTTCAGTGGCTTCAGTGGACACTGTGATCAGGAATAGACTAACATCGATATAGCTCAGGGGCGTCGGAAGGTATTTTAGTGTGCTACGGTCAGCCATCTGAAGTACAATTTACTCGGGGGGGGGGGGGGGGTGGTGGCTGAGGCGAAAAATTTGGAAATTTAGATCTCAGATCAGTGTATTTTGTTGATTTACAGGGTACTTGGGGCAAATAGTGGTACGGTCAACACCATAGTGACCGTACCGTGTGCGGTCAACACGGTAGTGACCGTACGGTGTGCGACGCCCCTGTAGTGACCGTACGGTGTGCGACGCCCCTGTAGTGACCGTACGGTGTGCGACGCCCCTGTAGTGACCGTACGGTGTGCGCCGCTCCTGTAGTGACGGTACGGTGTGCGACGACGCCCCTGTAGTGACCGTACGGTGTGCGACGACGCCCCTGTAGCTAGAGGATATGTGATGGGGTTACATGTATGTCATCATTCGAGAGGATTTGTACGGAAGGGCCAAACTGAGAGGATTTGTACGGAAGGGCCAAACTGAGAGGATTTGTACGGAAGGGCCAAACTGAGAGGATTTGTACGAAAGGGCCAAACTGAGAGGATTTGTACGGAAGGGCCAAACTGAGAGGATTTGTACGGAAGGGCCAAACTGAGAGGATTTGTACGGAAGGGCCAAACTGAGAGGATTTGTACGGAAGGGCCAAACTGAGAGGATTTGTACGGAAGGGCCAAACTGAGAGGATTTGTACGGAAGGGCCAAACTGAGAGGATTTGTACGGAAGGGCCAAACTGAGAGGATTTGTACGGAAGGGCCAAACTGAGAGGATTTGTACGGAAGGGCCAAACTGAGAGGATTTGTACGGAAGGGCCAAACTGAGAGGATTTGTACGGAAGGGCCAAACTGAGAGGATTTGTACGGAAGGGCCAAACTGAGAGGATTTGTACGGAAGGGCCAAACTGAGAGGATTTGTACGGAAGGGCCAAACTGAGAGGATTTGTACGGAAGGGCCAAACTGAGAGGATTTGTACGGAAGGGCCAAACTGAGAGGATTTGTACGGAAGGGCCAAACTGAGAGGATTTGTACGGAAGGGCCAAACTGAGAGGATTTGTACGGAAGGGCCAAACTGTGGCAAGCACTAGTTTCCACTTAATACAAACTAGCACTGAGTTGCTACTCAATACAAATAGGCACTGCGGATTCCCTAACTTGAATGAGTACAAAGCAAGCATGGCTTGCCACTGACTGCATAGCACATGCAATGGTGTTATTCTGTATACTCGTACAGTCCACCTTGCCAATAACGGCTCTGCTCGATCTGCATCATGAGAACAGTGTTGCTATTGGCGAGTTGTCGGCGTGTGTGCGGTTGAGAGTAGGGCTGGGCCAGGTAGCAATTTCTTCGGATATCGGGTTCAGGTAGTTTTCCACGGGTAGCACGGGTGCCCGATCGGGTAATGTTTCCATGGTAACACCACAATGCACCCCTTCCCTTACACACTGGGTAGCCATGCGGAGTATTACATGAATTTGTACACGTGCACTGTACACGATATCATCTGCGACTTCTGGTTTTCGGGTACTATTCTTTACCCGTCTACCCGAGGTCCTCACGGGTAGCACGGGTACCCGACTACCCGTGCACACCACTGACTAGTTGAGAGTCTGCAGTCACCATGGTCACTAGGCCTGGAGATGATGGTGTAGTTATTTCAACATATTTACGAGTTGTTTTACCCGAGGTCGTCTGTATGCAATGATGTCATCCACGACTTCGGCTGTATTGATATGTTCTTGACAGAGTAGGTGATGAATATGGGAAATATAGGCCGAGTAAATGTATCATGGTGTTTCATGACTGTGTGGTGGCGAATTGTAAAAACAAGTGGTCAATATGACACTGGTCCAATATGGCACTGGTCACTGAATATGGCAAATATTTTCCCAGTGGAGATGAGGGTAATTAGTGGAGGTCAATACTATGACTCCATGTGTACAGTGTACAGTGAACTCTCCAGTGTCCAGTCACTGAGTGTGACACAGCGTACATACATCATAATGTAATTGTAATACTGTGGGTGTTCATGCATGCGAATGTATGTGTTCGTGTGTGTATGCATTGTATTGTATTGTATTGTATTTATTTAAAAGGATTCTCCAAAAGCAAATGGATGCTTATCACGGAAGTCTCCCACATAAATATCGCAAGAAAAATGGGGAAATGGGGAGAGGAGAGTGGAAGATGAAGCATGGGAAGAAGGGAAACAAGCACCTAAATATCGAGGTATAAAAGCAGGAAAGAAATCGACGAGGGAAGAAATCACCTCTGCAGATAATAGCGGGACATTTAGATGAAAAAAACCCAGCAAGGATTAATTTCAAGGAAACAAAATTTCTCAAACGGAAAAGTTCGGAATTCCAGTCAGAGAATATCTATGCTGAGAGTAATGTGTATATGTGTGTGTGTGTGGTGTGTGTGTGTGTGTGTGTGTGTGTGTGTGTGTGTGTGTTGTGTGTGTGTGTGTGTGTGTGTGTGTGTGTGTGTGTGTGTGTGTGTGTGTGTGTGTGTGTGTGTGTGTGTGTGTGTGTGTGTGTGTGCATCTGTGTGTGTGCATCTGTGTGTGTATTGCTCACAACTGCTCAGATGCTCGGATACACGTATATGAAGCATGCTCAAGTCAGTCCTGAAGAACATCCTATCCTCATCACCGAGTCACCCAGGAATCCACGGAGCAACCGAGAGAAGCTATCCGAGGTTAGTTGCTGAGTCGTAATTCTGGGCAGTGAGTTGAATGGAGGGGGGGGGGGGTATGGGATGCGACCAACCTGTGATGGTCTGTTTATCATTATTCTGTGCCCGCTTGGATCTGTGCTCTCTTCCAGAATTTGAAGTGATGACGTAATTGTTTTGTAACAGATTGCTGCACACACAGTTCACATTCAACTTGGCATGGATGGTGTTGACGCCCATTCCTTGAACAAAGCGATTCGACTCGGTGTCCAAAAACTCTACCTGAAAAGTTCATTTCTACCAGACTTCTGTCTAGCCTTTTCCTAAAGTAAACCGGTGCCTGATGTTATACTTCATTGCTGCATGCCTACACCATCGCATGCCTACACCATCGCATGCCTACACCATCGCATGCCTACACCATCATTGCCTCAACTACAGAAGTTGACTTGGACTGTGGGGGTGTTGCTGCCTTGTCCCGTCTAACATTCCAGAACACCTCCTGGGAACTAAATATAGCTGCCTTGTCCGGTCTAACATTCCAGAACATCTCCTGGGAACTAAATATAGCTGCCTTGTCCGGTCTAATATTCCAGAACACCTCCTGGGAACTAAATATAGCTGCCTTGTCCGGTCTAACATTCCAGAACATCTCCTGGGAACTAAATATAGCTGCCTTGTCCGGTCTAATATTCCAGAACATCTCCTGGGAACTAAATATAGCTGCCTTGTCCGGTCTAATATTCCAGAACACCTCCTGGGAACTAAATATAGCTGCCTTTTCCGGTCTAACATTCCAGAACATCTCCTGGGAACTAAATATAGCTGCCTTGTCCGACCTAACATTTCTCTTCAGGGGCGTCGGAACCGGTGCGGCAGGTGCGGCCAAAGCCGCACCAATAATTTTGGAAGTTTTTTTTTTTTTTTTTTCTTTTTTTTCATTTTCAACCTTGTTGATGGCATGTCGACACTTGTACAGGTACCATGTTTTACATCGACAATACGGTGTGTCATCAGCATGCATATTCTTATTTCTCATATTATTCTGTAGCATTAAAATAATGGCCTTTTAGGCCCAATTTTAAAAAAAAATCCCGGGGGAGGACCCCCCGGACCCCCCTCTCACACTTTCGCTGCACCAATGTTGAACTGCTTCCGACGCCCCTGCAAGATATGAAGTCTTCCGGGAACTGAGTCAATTGCCCTTGCTCTGAGAATGCTGCAACACACAGCCCCCCTTATTTGAATGAGCTTCAAAGTTGGCTACTAGCACTTTTCATCCAAAAACAACGTTACGTACACCATATGGTTTCCTAGGTAACGTATGAGCTGCACATGGATAGAGATGTGTCCATTGTTCATGTTACTCTACTTACGTGTGGGGTATGCTCACTACCGTCTCTTTTGTGTCTTTTCTATTTTACTGGCTGTTACAGCTCCTGTTCGAGACATTCCAAGTGCCAGCAATGTTTGTAGCCTTGCCAGCTATGCTCTCTATGTATTCATCCGGTCGTGTACGTGGTCTCGGTGTGGATGTGGGGCATGGATGTATGCACGTTGCGGCTATCTTTGACGGTAACCCAGTGCCTCATACCATACAACGCAGCAATGTGGCTGGTGCACTGCTAGATCAGTGTCTTGCAAGCTACCTAACCGAGCACGGCTCAAGCGGTATGCTACGTAATTACACCGGGCAGAAGTTCATACAGCACTTGAAGGCTGACACATGCTACGTGAAGCAGCGTGAAGCAAGTGCCATCGCCTCTTCACCAGCTAGCACACCGACTGCTGATGCGAAGGACATTACAGTGCCTGTTGTCAGTGAAACTACACAAGCCACAGCAGCAGCAGCAGAGGAGCGTGGTCCTGTGCCACTCACTCTACCTGATGGTAACGAAGTCACACTGGACACCGAGCTACACCAATGTCCAGAATCGCTATTCGATCCCAGTCTCCTCAATCTGGGCGTGCCTGAAGAGGACAGTCCGGGCATACACAAGCTCGCATTCAGCAGCATCCGGAAGTGTGACATTGACATCCGCAAGGAGATGTACTCAAACATCGTCCTCTCCGGCCGCACAACGCTAATGGACGGCTTTGTGGAGAGATTTGAAGCGGAGATTGCTGCGCAAGCTCCTGCTGCAGCTCAGGTCAAGGTTACTGCTACTTCCGATCGTGAGCAGATGGTCTGGGTGGGAGGTTCAATTCTTGCTCAGCTGCCAAGTTTCGAGAATACCTGGGTACCGAGGCAAACGTACTTGGAGGAAGGTGCATCCACTATGCTTCGCAGATGTCCCTACTGACCGTGTCAAGCAGGTCATGGACTGATCTGGATAGCTGTGACAGCCCATGCTGGTCTTGTACAGCAAGCTGGACATGGACCACTGTGGATAGCTGTGAATGCCCGTACTGGTGGGGGTGAAGTTGTACAGCAAGCTGGACATGGACCACTGTGGATAGCTGTGAATGCCAGCACTGGTCGTGTGCAGCTAACAGGCCACGTGGACACCGGATAGCTGTACACGCAGCGCAGGCCGATGGAGGGGACTCTGGACAACTATGAAAAAAGCCTGTGGCCTTGTACAATAGTGTACATGTGTACATGTGTATGACTTTGTGTAGTTCGGTGTAATTATGTGCTAGAATCATAGTGTATGGCATCATTGCGCATGATGTATATAGCAATGATGAAGTTGAATCCACACATACTGTTTTCCTCTGCTCTGCTGACACTGCGGCTCCCACCCTGCAACATGATGTTTCTGTTAGCACAATGAAGCTTATCTCCCCCCCCCCCCCTCCCCTCCCGGTTACCGGGGTACTCCAAGTATATTAGGTTGCTATAATCCTGTCCACCCCCCCTCCAGCAGTTGTGGATTTTTTCGATGACAGAGATTCACTGCTTTATCGATCTGTTTCTTGATTTTAGCATCACATTGTGACAGGCTGTTACCTGCTAATCCTGTCCTCCAACCCGGCTTACCTACTAACATACATGTTTGTGTCGCACGTCAAAACGCAGGGATTTTCCGTGTCAATCCAAGTACTTTGTGGAGTGCATGTCTATACAGTGCATAGGATATTCCCAAGTGTATGTTACGTGTGTAGAATGCTCCCTGATAAGTAGTTCACGCACTGACCAAATTGACATAGCTGTGCTCCAGTACGGTATGCGATATACAACTGCTGGATTAGAAAGCCGAATTATGTACAGTTTGAGCGATTTGTTGCAGAAAATCGCTGCTGGAGGCGGAATTCAAGTGCCGGACTAAAGCGTACAAAATTAACTGAAAAAATCCGTTTTTGCCAGAAAGTGTGCTGGTTTGCAAGGGTGCAGGATAAACAAGTGCCGGATTAGAGAGGGACTGGATAAACAAGTGCCGGATTAGAGAGGGACTGGATAAACAAGTGCCGGATTAGAGAGGGACTGGATAAACAAGTGTCGGATTAGAGAGGGACTGGATAAACAAGTGTCGGATTAGAGAGGGACTGGATAAACAAGTGTCGGATTAGAGAGGGACTGGATAAACAAGTGTCGGATTAGAGAGGGACTGGATAAACAAGTGTCGGATTAGAGAGGGACTGGATAAACAAGTGTCGGATTAGAGAGGGACTGGATAAACAAGTGCCGGATTAGAGAGGGACTGGATAAACAAGTGTCGGATTAGAGAGGGACTGGATAAACAAGTGTCGGATTAGAGAGGGACTGGATAAACAAGTGTCGGATTAGAGAGGGACTGGATAAACAAGTGTCGGATTAGAGAGGGACTGGATAAACAAGTGCCGGATTAGAGAGGGACTGGATAAACAAGTGTCGGATTAGAGAGGGACTGGATAAACAAGTGTCGGATTAGAGAGGGACTGGATAAACAAGTGTCGGATTAGAGAGGGACTGGATAAACAAGTGCCGGATTAGAGAGGGACTGGATAAACAAGTGTCGGATTAGAGAGGGACTGGATAAACAAGTGTCGGATTAGAGAGGGACTGGATAAACAAGTGTCGGATTAGAGAGGGAAGACTGTATATGTACACCAACCACAGACCACGTTACCATGGTTACCACTTGCATACTGGTACCACTTGTGGTAGTACGGAACTTCTGATACTAGTGGCCATAGCAGCGGCATGCCACATGCAGTATTTTTTGTTGTATGTTCGAATTCAACAATTAAAAAAAGAAAAAGAAGTTTTGGACTTTAACAGCTGGATGGTTTTTAAACTAATAAGTTACTAATTTTATTAGTGTAGCCGCCGCAATACCGCAATACCGCAATACCGCAATCCGGTCGTCTCCCACAGTACTTTGAAAGTACTTTCTGCAACAGAACCTTTCACAATTGGTGTACTTCATGAAGTACATTGAGCTAATAATAACAGTTACTTGTAAGTAAGTCTAGTTGCCCATGCAGCTGTGATGTAAACACGCACACTTCTGGACTACAGTTTGCACCACACGAGAGATGAACAGTTTGTTCATACATGTACTGTAGTGGACATGGAAATCCAGTCGATTGACCTGGGCCGGCGCCCTCAGCGCGTACAGAATGCACATGTAAGTCGTTGCATGCACTGCATGCACTTGTTGATCCGATGCGACCAGCAGCAACGCTACGGCTGCATGGCCAGCGCCTGGGGGCCGCTAGACGTGCGACCGGATTTCCATGTCCACGACAGTACATGACTGTACTAACACAGGGGCATAGCAGCCGGTCCGGGCTTTTTTTTGGCCGGACCACTTTTTTAACACAATGCCGAAAGTGCCCCGAATGCACGGTTTTGCACCCTAATTTCAAAATTTCCCAGGGGGGGCACCCTCGACCCCCTCCAGCCACACCACCTCCCACAGCGGCAGTAAACTGACCCCTATTGTACACAACTACATGTACATGGCTGCAATAGATACCCTTAGCAAACAACGGTAACGCTATTTTTTACGGTACTCGTACCTTGATCACCCAAATAGCGTTGAAGCTGAAGCGTATAAACGTTATGGGGGCTGATTTATCGTTGTGACCAACGGTACGTGTTTTAGCCAAATATTGCATAGTCCGTACGCATTTCACCTTGTATCGCGTATATGGTGACAAAAATGGTTGTACCTCGCGAAATCAAAGCTATTCTCGTGGCAACAGCGTACTAAAAATAGCGTGCATCTTGCTAAAGGTCGAACCCAAATCACGGTATTTTCCCCCTTACGATAATACCGTTACAACATAACGTTTTTTGCTAAGGGTGTCTAATAAGGCTGAACTCAAACTCATGGAAATTCACAACTTAAGTATTTGACTTTGAAAAGTGATGGTAGGAAAAGCCTCGTTATAATTTCCGGTGGCTTATGTACTTCGTGTGTTAGTTTGATTTCCTCCAACAAAAAGTCTATTCAATCCAAGATTTCATTGCACACAGACACGTTGTGACAGTAATTCGAGATCTCATCACACACAGACACTACACCGGAAAGTGCCGAAATTTCAATGACTCTTTCGTACACAGACACAAGACCACTGTAAGCTGGGATCTCTCTGCACACAGCCACTGATGCACACAGACACACAGCGACTGATGCACACAGACACACAGCCACTGATGCACACAGACATACATGTGCGTGTGTGTGTGTGTGTGTGTGTGTGTGTGTGTATGTGTGTGTGTACGTAACCCTTTAGCACAAGGACACACGACCACGGCAAGAAGGTAATCTGGACACGGATACAGACAGACAGTACTGTCAGTTGGCTGTTTGGAGATGTACACAGTAACACAGGTACTTAAGAGCAATGGTTTCAAACATTAGAAACAAATAAAATAAATATATAAAAAGAAAACTCGGCTGGAGAGCCAAGGATGAAAATTAAAAAGGAGGGGACCGTAAGTTTACATACATAAAAAGAAAAGGAACGGGAAGAGCGTTGGGAGAGTTGATGTTATAAATGCTAAAAATAAATAAATAAAAAACACCGAAGGACAATGAAAAGAAATCGTAACAGAGAGTCACCATCGCCAGAGCTGAGCAGCGCATTACCAATTTACGCAACGAAGAAGCCACAACACATGTCTGCCCACCTGGCACATTTTGGGGAAAATTAGCAAACTATGAAGAAGCGGGGAAAGGATTTCATGTGTTCCATGCCGGTGGTGGGGGCAATGTGTGTGTGCATTCGATGAGACCCTGCTTGTGTTGTACATGCCTACTGCACAGTGACACTGTCTGTGTTCTTATTAAATACTATGGGGCATTGGTGTAGCAGGGTAGTGGCAGGCACGTGGGGCGAGAAGACGGCGAAAACTGAATTGCTAAGTCAGTGGCGGCGTAATGGAAATCTCAGCTTACAACAGAAACACTACAAGTATTATTGCAGTTAGAAAAACGATTGAGAAAAAGGGTTACCATGGTTACTCGACGAGATTGCATCACAGCCTAAATACAGCTATGCTACCATGGTGATATTCAGCAGGTCAGAACTGTAAATGATGTAACGATCAGGGGCTGGTCATAGATAAGCATGGATAAAAAAACGGGGGGGGGGTACAGAGAGGATATGGAGGGGCAACACAATGGTAAAAAGAATGGCTGATGAAGTTTCGTGAGAGAGAACTGGAGGATATGCTTGATTTGATTGAAATGTGATAGATTACATAGTGGCATGCGGATGTTTTCAAAAATGGTTTTCAGCACAGAGAAGCCATAATTATGAATAGTTACAAGTATGTCTACAGAGTATGTATATGTACATGTAGTAGCAGTATGTGCACGGGGCCGCCGCGGGGGTGGGGCGGGGTGGTTCAATGAATATGCCGGTGGTTAACGGAGGAGAAGATGTGCGTGGGTTGCTTTAGTTAGTATGTGTGTGTGAAGGGCATGGTGTGTGTGTGTGTGTGTGTGTGTGTGTGTGTGTGTGTGTGTGTGTGTGTGTGTGTGTGTGTGTGCGTGTTTGTGCTAGACAAGACATGCATACACACACGCGCATGGACGCACATGCACACACACACACACATGGACACACACGCACACACACAAGCACACATGCAACCTGTACAACGTGTTCTGGAAAAGTACAAGACAAGTGGAGTTGGACAAGGCTACACACAGGACAAGTCTAGCAGTAGCAGCAGCAGCATCAGCAGCAGTCAGTTTTCTCACAACATGGTCCACTTGGGCAGTGGTAGGATGGGAGCATGGTTAGCTATACGAGCTGCATCTGCCTTTACTCCACCTTTCAGTTCTTCTTTGTACATATGACCAGATTGCAGGTGCACTGTGCGTGCATCCAGTACATTCGACATCCAGTGACTCTCGTACATATCAGAGTTCACGTACGACGAGGCTGTAAACTTGCCATGACGTTTGCCCTTTGCGTAAGAGCCTGCATGCACAACACAACACACACATACACAGTGTCAGTGCAACAAGCTCTGTACTTGATGCAGCGTGACCTGAAAATGGGTCTTACCGGAATATTTGTATGATTATGCTTTTCAGCCATTGTTGGCTTTCAACTCCAGTAAGGTGCCATCTGTAAGTATAGCTACAGTCAAACCTCTTTAGGACGAACACCAAGGGACCGATGGTATTTGTTCGTAATAACGGGAGTCCTTCTTATCCATATTTTATACCCAGTGAATACACAGTGATTTATCCAATACAGTCATGGATACTAGTTCTTCCAACGCCAAAGTTTGTCTTATCAGTCACTGTGTTATCGGTCACAGTCTTATCAGTCACTGTCTTATCAGTCACTGTCTTATCAGTCACGGTGTTATCAGTCACGGTGTTATCGGTCACTGTGTTATCAGTCACTGTGTTATCAGTCACTGTGTTCTTCTTAACCAGGTTTCACTGTAGTTATTTAGAAACAAAAACTAGTTGTATAGAGTGGGGGGGGGGGGGGGGGGGGAGGGGGTTGAGCGCCTGTTCGTCTCAAAACATTTCGATGTACAGTTTGTATGGACCGGTATAAGGCGAGACCAAAATTTGATCCTAGAGGGTGGTGGCGTTCCCACGGCGGATGCGGAAAACTCGGCTTCCAGCCGAGTCTCACGCGAACCGTGAAATTTAAAAAAAAAATAAAATCGAGATTCCCGGGCAGGACCCATGTGAAATTGGTGCGGGCGGGCGAATTTTATTTTTTTATTTTTTCCATGTATGTACATGACTATAATGTGCATGCCATGTTGAACTTTTTTTTACAGCATTTTCCGGTAATTTTGATTCATTTTTTGCAGACAACAGGTACATGGTTTACCCGTTCAATTTTTCTATATTTCGGCCAACGATGGCCCTGATCTGTTCATCAGGGAGTCGTACAAGCTCGGGTTTGTGTGACTCCACGTCACAGATCTACTCACACGATCAGTACTGTCCATGTACATGTATGAACTGTTCAAAAAAAAAAAAAAAAAAATTGGCTTTGGCTCGATTTTGGTGCGGGAGGGCCCAGGAATCTCTATTTTTTTTGGTCTCGCCTAAGCACAGAAAAAAATAAAAAAAATATCGATACTATGTACGATCTGTATTGTGTGTTGTTTCTCAGGGAGGGGGAGGGGGTTGAAGAGAAATGACTAGTTTTCGTTTCTAAATAAATATCGGTATTTACTATTTACGGATGGCCCCTAAGTAACTAAATAACATGACAACCATACCAGTGAGCGGAGAGTACAATATTAGTCAGTGGTCACTGTAAGATATAGACTTTCCTGCACTTGGTCTGATCATAGCTACATGTAGCTGATGAGATGCAGGAACTTAAGGCACTGGTGGTGACAGTGCTGCTGGTTGTGATGGTAGTGGTGGTGCTGGTTGTGGTGACGGTGGTGGTGAGGATGGCAGGTGGTGGTGGTGGTGGTGCTGGTGGTGGTGGTGGTGAGGATGGCAGGTGGTGGTGGTGGTGGTGGTGGTAGGTGGTGTCATTTCTACATAGAGCAGCAACGTGGTCAAATCTGTCCAGATGGCAGTTGACCACGACAATGAAACGAGTTGAAAACAACCTCTGGAGAAAACTTGCAATGCATTGTGGTGCCAGCATATTTGTGAGTATCACAGAGGAAGAGAATGAAAAAAGGAGAACAGTGCAAATTCTACTTCCTCCACGCCACCCAGGTGTGCGCTTATCTTTTCACATGCTGTGAGCAGTCATTCCTTGACAATGGCTTAACCGTATGTCATTCAGTCAGATCCAGGTTTCTAGAAATGAAACAGACACTTCTATAGACGACCGTTGACGAGGACTTAAACTGGCGGCGACTTGAAACATCTCCGACATATCGACATCGAGTGACACAACAACAACAACAACAACAACAACAACAACAACAACAACAACAACAACAACAACAAAAAAGGAGTTATACGACGTGCAGAAGTTCTAGCTTCCGTGCTTTGCACGTGAGACCAGTTTGTGCACACATGGCCGACGCGCGGACACGGATCATGCGTGGGGGTCCTGTACGCACTGCTGCCATGTGCAAAGTACTGTCCGCACTAACTGATATTGGCCACGGAAATCAGTACTGCACTGCACTAGCCTGCAGTACAGATTGTACGCACTAACTGATATTGGCCACGGAAACCAGTGCTGCACTGCACTAGCCTGCAGTACAGATTGTACGCACTAACTGATATTGGCCACGGAAATCAGTGCTGCACTGCACTAGCCTGCAGTACAGATTGTCAACTCTGGATAATTCTTGTTTCCAGCTCCTGCCCTCAAAGTTCTCCTTCTTCTCCGCTCGAAGTCGTTCCAAGTTTGTGTACATTCAAGTACTGTACTGCTGGCTCAGGATTACAATATCGCTTCATCTCTCTTCCTTGTGTTGTGACATACGTTGTTTAATTACTACATCGCTTCATCTCTCTTCCTTGTGTTGTGACATACGTTGTTTAATTACTACATCGCTTCATCTCTCTTCCTTGTGTTGTGACATACGTTGTTTAATTACTACATCGCTTCATCTCTCTTCCTTGTGTTGTGACACACGTTGTTTAATTACTACATCGCTTCATCTCTCTTCCTTGTGTTGTGACATACGTTGTTTAATTACTACATCGCTTCATCTCTCTTCCTTGTGTTGTGACATACGTTGTTTAATTACTACATCGCTTCATCTCTCTTCCTTGTGTTGTGACATACGTTGTTTAATTACTACATCGCTTCATCTCTCTTCCTTGTGTTGTGACATACGTTGTTTAATTACTATATCGCTTCATCTCTCTTCCTTGTGTTGTGACATACGTTGTTTCTGCAGCCAGTTTGTGATTCCTCTTAGGGCCCGGTCACACATGCACTGGGGTTCCGCTTTGGCGGCGAGGTTCTGCGGCAGCGAGACTGGTGCCTCTCCAGCGGAACCACGTGTGTATGGTCACACATGAGTCAAGACAGACAGGGCAAGCTCTTACTGTGGCGGAAAAAATGAGAGTGAAGTGGACTGTGGTGCATACGGTACAGAGTCACTGACTATCTGCCTCACATGTTTTGTTGCATGGACATCATAAGTATCCAGATTTATCGTAGCAAGTCCATATTCAGCAGACCGGGGTGTATTCCGATGAAGCGAAACCGCAGAAGCGAGAGTGCCGCTCCCAAATTTTGGAGTCAGCGGATTTGAATTTCCGCTGGAGCGGTTGTTACGCTTTTCGCAGTTGCCATGGTATGTTTCGCCCTTGCAGCATCGGTTCAGCGGAACCGCTATTTTTGAGTGCATGTGTGACCGGGCCCTTACGCCATACGAGAGTAGAAAAGCCCTCAGAGAGCTCTTGCTAGTTCACTATATACACATCCTGTCAGAAATGGAAATGTGGCCCAGTCACACAAAGTACTGAGGGAAAAAAGTGCACATTGCGGTGGTGCTGAGAACGTATCTAGTATTGTGTGCATGCGCGAGCATGTGTGTGTGTGTGTGTGTGTGTGTGTGTGTGTGTGTGTGTGTGTGTGTGTGTGTGTGTGTGTGTGTGTGCTCTACTGAATCCCTATTTTTCCAATTCATCAGCCTTGCAAGCTGTTGAATGGTGTAATCCCAGCACAAGTTGCTATGTGTAACATAGCTGTTCGCTATCATCGCTTCCGCGATGGGCAGGTCTGAGGTCTGAGGTGTGTGTATGTGTGTGTGTGTGTGTGTGTGTCAGGGTTCGCACCAAGTCATGAAAATATTATTCAAGGGTTTTCAAGGGCCCCAAACCCCATTTTTTCAAGGACATTCAAGGACATTAGTTGGTGGGCTAACCGTTGGTTGGAACATCGCCGCCATTATCACTCAGAGAGAAGACATCGCGCTCAGAAGAAGAGGTGTTAACGCTGCGTCCAAGAGTGAACTATTGTGCTCTTTGACCCTCCATAGTTCCTCTGAGAGAGTGCCTGGGAGATAGGTAGCTTGGAAATGGCCGTAGAACGTGCTTTCCTGGACGCAATATTCAGCCATTTCTACCGTCTTCTTCAACTTGATTTATTTCGAAAAAATGTTATTTTTCAGGGTTTCTGCACTGGACGCGTTTGGGATCGAAAATCTCACCTGCGCAGCTCACGCGCTGAGATCCCTATCAGTACTACCAAGAGTGGATCCAGACTTGGTACTAGATCTACGGACTACGGTACCGGTTCCGGGTACCCAGCAGTGCGCGTAGACCTACTGCATGAACGTGAGTAGATCTACCGCATTCAAACCCAAAATCAAGGAAAAACACACTTTTTTCAAAAATTCAAGCACCCACACGAAAATTCAAGGATATTCAAGCACTTTCAAATCCGGCTTTGACATTCAAGGACTTTCAAGGAATTCAAGGAGTGGTGCGGACCCTGGTGTGTGTGTGTGTGTGTGTGTGTGTGTGTGTGTGTGTGTGTGTGTGTGTGTGTGTGCATGTGTGTGTGTATGTGTGTATGTGTGTGTGTGAGTGTGACCTTACCTCGACAAGCGCCACTAGGCATAGTTTCAGTACCGGTTCCAGTTCGCAAACCATTTTGAAACTTTCCTTGGAAGGTGGTTTTCTCATCACTGGCCCTGGTGTATGTACCGGCACCATGTGGTCGATCATGCAGCCATTCACCTTCATACATCTACACACACACACAGACACACACAGACATGCACAAACACACAGACACAGACACACGCACACTCAGGCGCATAATCGCATAGGGCACGGGGGCATGTGAACCCCTGACACTTTTTGACCTAGGTTCAGCATGCACAAAATGACCATGAATGACATTCACCAGCCATCCTACCCATACGATATGCGGCCGTGTACCCCTAAAAGGGGGGACCAGCTGCACCCCTGGACTGTCACACTGTATTGTACTGTACTGTACTTGCTCACTGCCATGACTGGTCACGTGAGTCTCCCACGAAGAGGGGAGAGAGATTCAAGAGGAGTCCTGGAAAGATGACTCAATTGGCTTTCGAATCACCCAATGGCCGACCCCCCCAGCCCCCAAACTCTGGGTGGACTTGGAAATGATCCCACTTATGGGCTCACCACACCTCAGTAAGCAGGCCGAGACAACGTGTAGAAAAGGACACACACACGCACGCACGCACGCAAGCACATACCTCAATGAAGTCATATCGGTCGACACTAGCGTCATCATCATCGATAGTGGCCGTGCGAACTGTCCATTTACCATTCCCACTTCTCTGATCAAACTGCCAATCTCCTTCATACTCATGAAGTACACTGGCGCAGGGTGTGATCAGACAACCAGCGCCATGCCGTAGACCATGTTCAAACATACCCTCATACCGACAGCCAGAAGAAAACAGTTTCTTGCCAGCCCCGTGCACAAGTCCGTTGAGGAAGGCACCTGTGTACATGTCGTCGTTCGGCCAGCGTAGCTGACCCTGGCCACACCAGAGATCAAACTGCCATTCACCTATGGAAACACACATGCATATGCACACACACACATACACACGCACACATACACACACATACGCACGCACACACACACACACACACACACACACACACACACACACACACACACACACACACACACACACAACGGGGCAATAGATGCTGATTGTTCACGCTGCGTGCTCAAAGTAGTATCAGCAAAGCAGCAGTGGAGTTCAGTGTACTGATTTGTGATAGGTTGAACCTGATGACATGTTACGGCTCACTCAACTTTCCAGTTGAATTTCCTTCTGCACCTCTGCAGTCCTTTTCTTCTTCCGTTAGTCTTTCTCTCCTTTCTCAGTACGTACTATCTTGCAAGGGTGGATGCGAGTATTCCCTGGCAGATCCATGTACTCCCCCCCCCCCCCCAGCCCACCAGAACTATGTACCCCCCCCCCCAGCCCCCCAGATCCATGTACCCCCCCCCCCCCCAACAGCCCACCAGATCCATGTACCCCCCCCCCCAGCCCACCAGATCCATGTACCCCCCCCCCCCCCAACAGCCCACCAGATGTATGTACCCCCCCCTCCCCTCCCCCACAGCCCACCAAATCTATGTCACTACATTCCTCTACTTGATAAGCTATTCTCTCAAACATATTTCTCCGTTGTGCTGGAACTCTTTTTGAATTGCTTTTGTTCTTTCTTGCAATGTGCCAGCTGCTGAACTGTGCAGGTGTAGCAGCACCATTTAATTATTATTACACTTCGGCGATGATTTGTAAGAAAGGGTTTGCTCCCCTCACCGTCCAGGAGCGACACTGACTCACGCTGCTATCTGGTGTTCACGAGGTGTTTGTTGCGCTGGAAATGGAGCGTCTCTGTAAGTTTGTATCCCTGGTGATGTTTGTGCCTGGAGAGCACTATATAAGTGGTGCTCTTCAGGCACAATCTTCCTCAGCCTACTCAAGCTCAACTGATGAGGGGTGAATTCCCCGAAACACTGTGTATTGAGCAGGGAGTGGTGCTTTCTTGCAGGTTTGCCGAGTCGAAGGTTCGATGGACTTCTCGTGTGCTCTGGATGGCAGTCGTGAGTCAGTCAAGTGTCAAGTAAAGTCGGCGGAATAGCGCGAGCTCCAGTGTGGGGAGCAAACCCTTTATTATTATGATTATTATGATGATTGTGCCGTCACTGATAATGTGATCATGCACATTCTTGGATTCTCTTAGGGCATGTTCGATTGTACGAATCCATCAGCCCCAGACCCGGATTCGCCAAATTCGTACATGTTCGATTGTGCGAATCTGGATCCCGAGAGCACGGATTCGGATCCAGTCAACCCAGCTCTCCCAGAGATGGATTCGATGGATTCACTTCCATGGTACGACTCGTATCTACTCAAAACTCGCAATATGCGTACACTAGGTCAAGAGTTTACCACAACGCGCACAGATACTACGGGATGAGCTGTAGCAACGCGGTTGCTAAGGCCTTGAAACGGATTATCGGTTGTGCACATTCGATTTTATCCATCCGATCGAAGTGATTTGGTCGGCGGGGATCGGGATCCAGTTTCTACAATCGAATGCAGCCTTAGAGTTGTCTTGGTCGTTCATGAATTGGTATTGGTATTGTTTTAATATTCGATCGTTTAATACAACATTTGTAGTCACAATCTTTTCGTGTTTTGGAGTGCGGGCAAAATTACATAGATAGTAGTGGTGGAATGAGCACACAATGAGCACCGGAAGTATTGTGCAATAGCCGGCCCGGGTTCAAGAACACCAGTTCCCACTAGACTACATCATGCTGAGTAGGCAGTAATAGCAACTAAAACAAAGCCATGATCTACAGTACTTGAGGTAGACTCAGGTGCAAAGCCAAGGATCAATTTATAATTTATAAGAAGAAAAGAGGAGCAAGGAGCTACACGTAAAGCTATAATGTCCACGCTTGTCTTGGTTGCGCTCACCTTTCTCTCCGCTATGTTATTTCTTTAACTTAGAACCTTCCAAGTTGGAACTGTGTTGGAGTGTGCATTCAAGATGTGCTAGGGCTGTTAGCCAGTTAGGTGAAGAACGCCAGCACCGTCGGTCAGTGTCGTGCAATTTTATCGCATGAGCTGATTGTAAAGTAACTGCAGTGGTGATAGTGGATATTACAGCGCAACGTGTAGCTCCTTGGTTCTCTTTTCTTCTTATAAATCTACATGAGTATTCATGAGTATTCAGCCACTATGTAGCAAGCACACCATATCAATCATTTGTCACATAAACAAGTTTGCAAGGAAGAGACCACTTGCGTTTGTGATGGTGCAGGGGTTTTTTCAATGCATTTTTCATTCGTTTTGTTTTGGAAGCGACTTCAATTATTCCAAGCATTCACAAATTGATTTTAAAAAGAATACATCCCAGATTTTCAAGTGTGTACAGTCAGTATCGCCTATAGCGTTGGTGTTTGATTTTGAGCATTTATCACTATAAGCGATATATTACTATGACCGATACTGCATGCACTGTATGCGAGTGGGGTGTCAAACGACTCAGCGCGCCGTGCACATACGCACTACATACATGTACAATGTCATGTAGCTGGCTGTAGCTCCTGACACACAACATCAGCATTTCCTCATGATGGAGGCATATTTTGGCAACTTGTACAAGCAAAACTCACCAAACAACACTCACTGGACAAGTTCTTCACGACCAAGTAACACCATGTTCTACTCTGACATCACTTGATTTTACATGAATCACTATAACCGATGCAAAAAATAATGTAATAAAGGCCTTTTGAAATATGAATTTGATCACTATAGGCGATATATTACTATAGACGATTATTACTATACGCGATAACTGTGTATAATTAGTTATGGCAATTGAAAATGAATTTGAGAAATTGATCACTATATCCGGTATATTACTATAGCCGCCAACCTTATAGGCGATACGGACTGTACTTGATTACAGATAATAGCAAGAATATAATTATAACCCCCAAGAGTGTGCAACTCTGCATATGGGTCTCCGACAGCGAAAACTCACATCACATGTCTAATACGTTCGTACTACGTACAAACGAAGCATAGCGTGTGCGCAATTCGAATATCTGCCACGATCATGCTGGAGATTTGCATGCCCGCAGTGAGTTTCTGTCAGAGTGGTTTTTTTATTACTCCGCTGCTCGCTAAAAACGGGTTGGAAACGTACAGCTGTGACACTGCACCACGTGATGTGAGTTTTCGCCGTCGGCGTACCCCATAGAAAGGGTATCAGGAGTTGCACACTCTTGGGGGGGGGGGGGGGGTATATACTCTTGATAATAGTAGCACAGTAGTGATAGATTTAGACAGCCATTCCCCAAACAGTCATTCCCCAAACAGTCATTTCCCAAACAGTCATTTCCCAAACAGTCATTTCCCAAACAGTCATTTCCCAAACAGTCATTTCCCAAACAGTCATTTCCCAAACAGTCATTGCCCAAACTGTCATTCCCCAGACAGTCATTGCCCAAACAGTCATTCCCCAAACAGTTATTCCCCAGACAACTCACCACTGTATTCGCGTCCGTCGGCGTAAACTTGTTTTCCCATGCCGTGTTTCAAGCCCTGTTTCCATCCACCGGAGTATCGTTCCCCGTTGTCGCATAGCAACTCACCGTTACCATGACGCTGTCCATGTTGAAACGTGCCCTTGTACACTTGCCCGTTGTCATAGGTCATTTCACCTGTACCGTTTGGTTTGCCGCAAGAGAACTCACCGGTGTATTTATCACCTAGTGTTGTTGTCAGCTCACCACTGCCATGGAAAAAGCCATGCTCAAACTTGCCGACGTACCGCGTTCCATCCTGCTTGTACAGGGCATACAGACATACAGACCAAACACGCACTGTCCATTGTCTTATGGACACACAGATCGATACACACTGTCCATTGTCATATGGACACACAGATCGATACACACTGTCCACAGCTATACAAACACACTGACTAATTCACACTGTCCATAGCTAGACACTGTCACAGATATACTGATTACTGACCCGCAATACAGACCATGTACGGTGAGATAGAGACATGAACCGAAGCACATCATCCACAAACATACGGACATACGGACACATAGACCGATACACGTCGTTCACAATCATAAAGATACACAGAGCGATGGACAGCACAAGACAGTAGCAGACTTGCAGTGCACATATAGGAAGACCAGAAATTCAGCACAGCAGCAACAACAGCAGCAGCAGCAGCAACAGCAGCAGCAACAGCAGCAGCAACAGCAGCAGCAGCAGCAACAGCAACAGCAGCAGCAGCAGCAGCAGCAGCAACAGCAGTACGATAAGGCAGCAGCAGCAGTACGACAAGGCAGCAGTACGACAAGGCAGAAGATATGAGCCGCGGCCAGCAAAAAAGGTACTATAGAAAATTGCGGAAATTGTTCAGAATGGGAGTTTGAAGTTCGGAATTGAAAAAACCTTTTGAGTTGAGGTGATTTTGTACTTTTTACGAGTTGTCTCCTTGATGAGGATCGCTTCAAGATTATTTGTTTTCATCTTGACAAGGTATCAAGTGGCGCAACTTCATCTTTCAACAAGTGTGAGTGCATGCAAGACGCGTACTGAAAGTAGAGAAGCCACAGAGTGTCATGGCATGCACGAGTAGAAGACGAAGCCTAGAAATTTGCGGTGCGAGCGTTGACGACCTCGCTGCGCTACGGGAACATGACGAAAGTTTTTACGGCCTAAACAGCAGTGATACGATCGCCGAATCGTCTGGCTCAGACGACTCAGATTCGGACACACCTGCAGAAAAGCGGACCTGTTTACCGCTGGAGTCGCAGAGCAGCGATGACGAGTATTTCAGCGATGCAGAGGATACCACTAGCGACGGAACGAGTGCAGCAAGTGGAGCGGCAGCGGCGATGATACGCGACACACTTTACATCGGTTGCAAATGCAAAGTGAATCATTGGACCAAGCTACCTCCGAACCAGCTCGAGGAACTGGTATGTAACTTGAGAGCAATGAAGAGGAGTGAGCTGAAGCGGTACGTGCTGGGCGAACTTGCAGCGATAATGAAAATATCTAGCCCCAGCGTTCTCGCAAATTTTCGTTCACATATGCAATGCTTGGTGTTGTCGTCTGCCGTGAAGGGTTCCAAGATGCACCTGGATTGTCGCATTCTCTACTACGTAAATTACAAGAAGACGCTGAACATCTACTTACAACGCCACAGAGCAGCAAGAGTAAGGGCAAACCCCCGCCCACCATCTTACCTACTGCAGTGGCTAACAATGTTGTGCAGTTTATCAAAAACTATGCATCTCGTTATGGAATGCCACAACCAGCAGCACCCAGGGGACGCGCAGCAAAGGCGCCCACATATCTTCCTGCTAGTTGTACAAAGAAAGAAATTCATTGCCTATACTGTGATTCTGAAGGTGCGCATCCTATTAGTCTGACCACGTTCAAATGGCTTTGGAAAGCTAATACTCCAGATATATGCATCATGAAGCAGATGATCTGATGTTTGCGCACGCTGTGAGCGGCTGCGTGAGAATGTCAGGCATGCAAAGACAGAGGAGACCAACCGCCTGGCCATGGAGCAACTTTCAGCTCACATGCAGGAGGCTGATGATGAACGGCAGTACTACAACAAATCAATTAGTGATGCCAGGGATGAGCTAAGCCAAACAACAGATACAGATACACAGGCATCTTCTACCCACATCACTTTCGACTTCGCCCAACAGATTGAGCTACCTCAGCACACTCGCCAGGAGCAATGCCACAGGCCAAGAAGAGGCCGAGGGCATGGCAGAGGACTTGTAACTAACTATAATGCAGAAGTAAGCTGACAGCAATTGCCAATCTGGACACCCTTGTACATATAGTGGTATTTAACCATCCCCAGCACCTTAGAATACGTTCAAACTATCAGGAATGATAATTCACATATGAAGAAGTGTTTTGGAGCAAAAAACCGTTTTCCAAAAATTCACCCCACAGTACCATTTTTGCTGGCTGCGGCTCATATGCTGGTTGACTTACGGTACAGGTCAACTTGCCATGTCCAAATATACAGCCATCAACAAAGTTTCCTTGAAAGCAGTCTCGGTTAGAGAGTGTGAGTTGTCCATCACCGTGTGGTAAAGTGTTGACAAAGTTACCAGTGTATGTGTCACCATTCCACCATTTTAATGTTCCATGACCGTGCTGCTTTTCTGTCACAAAATCACCGATGTACACGTCACCTGGACACACACGCATTATGTCATAAGCAAGAGTGAGAGTGAGCACAATGATCAGGACCTGTCAGGACCATGATCACCAAGACACCAATGTAACCACGACAACCATGATCACCAAGAGTCCAAGACAGCCGTGTTAATGAAGATATAGTGAGAGAAATAGAGAATTAGAGCAACACCAACACCAGCAGTGACATCATCATCATCATCATCATCAGTATGACCAGGATCATTGACATCACCATTATCACCATCACCATCACCAGTCACTGCAGCAGCAGCAGCAGCATCAGCATCAGCAGCATCAGCATCAGAATCAGCAATATCAGCATCAGCAGCATCAGCAGCATCATCATCAGCAGCAGCAGCAGCAGCAGCAGCAGCAATATCAGCATCAGCAGCATCATCAGCAGCAGCAGCAGCAGCAACATCAGCATCAGCATCAGCATCAGCAGCATCCGCAATATCATCACTATTCACTATCACAAGTTGGGGTATACACACACACACACACACACACACGCACACACACACACACACACACACACACACACACACACACACACACACACACCATGTGTACGTGTATACGCCCGTCGCAAGAGAAGCACGCAAATCTGCAAATGCACTGGATGTGCACCCACAGATTTTCTCTTATAGCCACGATAGCGAACAAGATCTGAATGATACAGATCAAGACTTGCGCCAGGTAACTGTCTAATCCACACAACTGGCGAAGCCATGTGAATCGACCACCAATGCACACCTGGTCTACACCACACGGAGTACATTAGTCCATCGGCCAAATCTCAGAAAAGGCCTCTTTCGGAGAAGGTGATGCACTGAAGCTCCAAGTAAACGCCCTTTGGCACACTAGCTCATGAGACCCCATAGAATACGAATCCGATTGTTGGACGTTGCCAATCCAGTCCAGGAAAGTCGAACTGGGTCGAATACCTTCTTCCGATTTTCGTAATTTCGTCCACCATTACATCTTTCTCATCGACTTTTTTTCGCATGGCGAATGTTCTTGAGCCGCTGAGCAGAATCTACGCACGCTCGAACACTTGAAATGCCTGCATGTTGACGGTTCGCAAGATTCTAGCGAGCTTGGTGGAAATCTATTATTTATTTGGACATTTGTTGGGGAATCTGAATTAGAACGGTAGAAGCTCATTCGGAGAAGACGGCGTGTCGCCGCTGTCGGATTGTCGCTACTGTGTTTCAGACGTATTTGCTTGAGCGTGCTATTGAGGATGGACAGAAGATGAAGTGACGGCTTTCTTGAACACGGACGTTTTGTCTACATTGTAGCTGAAACATCTCATCTGGCGTCTAGAACGCAATTATTATGAGTTGTGAGTGGCAGCTGAGCTGAACACAAGCTGGACACCATTCGTCAGCTGGGAATTTGCATCGAAGCTCTTGATAGCCACGATAAGCATAATTATACAGAGGTAACATTGTTTGACTCAATACGCATGCAGGTGATACCACTAGTGGCACTGCAATGTAAATGGTGCAAAATTGATGCAACAGCGAATATGTACTTCGTACAATCACGAACAATTGTAAGGCAAGTGTTCATGCCTGTCATAGAAGAATTTCAGCCCGGAATACTTGTTGTCATGGTCATAAATAATACAGGACTTGAGTTGGCTCTGGACATAAACACACTTGTGGTGAATACGGTCATTATTGCGAGAAAAATATTTAGCCATTGTATGCCGCACTACAAGCAATATTTCATGTACATGTATGTGAGACTCAATTGCATCCACAAGGCCGTAGATGCATGTAAGCACACAATGATGTACAGTATAAGTAGTAGTCGACATATGGTGCCTTCCTGCTGCACATGCACATGTGGCAAGTTGGCAACGACGCATGACCTATCCGCACCGCACAGCGTGAGCTTAGAAAGGAATATTGCACACATAGTGCTATTTGTGTTCCGATATCGTTAAGCCGGTATACATGTACTAGTATCCTTATACCTGGTCACTCGATAGCCGATGCTGACTGTACTAATCTTATCCATATTACCCGATAGGCTATAGCACACTGCGTCAGATCACTATGCAACAAAACAAGAGCTTTGGAGCGAATATAAACTGAAGCAAAGTAGGTTTCAACGGTACAGCACTAGTCACAATGAGGGGAGTTACAAGGATGGTTGGGCCGTCACACATAGATGATGATTGTATGTGATTCATGCATGGTGGAAAATTACCACCAATGGCGATGATATTGCTTTCACAACAATGACATCAGTAGGAGCAGTGACACAACCTTACTGCTCCAAGTAGGATTTACAAGCGAGTGAAGGGAGAGCAGACTGGTCTAATAGCAGACCGGGTCTAAGCAAGGAAGTACCGTAAAGTCGCGGATAAAAGCCGGGTTTGCATACAAGCACATCGCGGATAGAAGCCTGAAAATCAAACGGGTCAAATGCATATAAGCCTGTCGCGCGTAGAAGCCTGGCTTCTATGCAAGTGCGGATCGGGTAGGTCAAGAGTGCATGCGCTATGTACAGTGCATAGTAAAACTGCCGCCGTACCGGTAGTCAGTGGAAGATCTACGCGTGTCGCGCATAGAAGCCTGGCTTCTATGCAAGCCCGGGTCGGCCGATGTGCATACAAGCCTGGCAAAAATATCAGTGGTGCATATAAGCATGGTTTGCATACAAGCCTGGTTTGCATTGAAGCCTGATGTAGAAAGCGGCTAATGTGCTTATAAGCCCGGCTTTTATCCGCGACTTCACGGTAATCGGCATCAGAGGTGAGCTTGCACATCAGAAAACAGAATCGATGATGATCACCAAACACAGAGAAGTTGGCTATGTGTATGTTTGTGTCACTGTGTGTGCATGTGCGTTTGTGTGTGTGTATGCGGGTGGTTAATGGCCCACACTGGAGCCGAATAGGAGCGCCAGTGGTTGAGGGCTAGCACAGGAGTAGGAGTAGCAGCAGCTCCAACCTAGGAAGATCAGCTTCTGGATGAAAATCTCCCGGACACAGTAGGTACCAAGCTTCACTAGCAGATTGCCGGCAGGGGCGCACGGCGAGCACCCGTACATCCCTCAAGCCACCAGAGCCGCAGTACTTGGACACGATCCAGGTGCTTACCCGCCAACAATGCTGAGAAGGCACTGGAGCCATACAGGAACTTATGATCGAGCATGACCACAGACTTGAAATACAGGGTCCGGCTTTGAATACTGAGACAGCGACGTCTCCTCCACAGAACACCACTCAGCCCCACCATTGCATTATTTTCGCTTTTTCATGATTTTACAATTGTGTTAGAGCACACAGCACTCGATGCAACATTTACCAGTGACTAAATAACTCCACGTCTCCGACCACAACTGCAGCGTTCCCGTGAGCCTGTTGGATTCCGTCAGCCTGTTGAGATTATCTTCATCTCGCCACATGTGAGCCTGTGTGTTTCATCCGTATCGTGGCACAATTACACAGACACGATTTCCAACACAGGCCGGTTCCGTTGCTCGAAGGGTTGGCGGTAAGAATTGCTACGCCGTCTGTGGCTGCATGGGAACTTGGAGAGTCGTCGTCTTTCTCCATAAATCCTGATCCTCACGCGAACAACAGCCACTATTGCCTAAAAACTACGACACAACAGTATCAAGCTCGCCCCAGCAGAAGGACACGAATGACGAGCGCTAAGACGGAGAAAGAGAGACAGGGTTAGCGAGAGCTGACTAGTGCAGGTACTCTGTCATCTCCTGAGGCGGTGGGCCAAGCAGCGAAGTGAAACGGAGGAAGATAGAAGGCATACGGAGGCACCAAAACCTATTGCCTGTCACATACTAAGTGCCATTTAGCGTTGACAGCTGTCAGCTGACAGCCTCAAAAATTTGAAAATCTGCTCAAAAATCTCTCGATCAGAACTCTGCGCACTCTCAAATGGAGCGCACAGTAAAACACTCGGCGACGAAGAACGCTTCGTATCGACGCCCTGGACTGAATTCGGCACGTCCAACAAACGGAATAGTGTTCTCTGATAAATTCTCTACGTGCTGGGTGTGGTCGCGTTTACTTGGAAGCTCAGTGCATCACCACTTTCGATTTTGAGACTTGGCCGATGGACTACATCGGCATAAAACGGCCACACACACACACACACACACACACACACACACACACACACACACACACACACACACACACACACACAGACACACACACACACACACAGCAGCCCAGACTACCCACCTGTAACAAAAGAAAGCTTTCCGGACCCGTGTCGTTCGTTCTCCACCCAGCATCCGTCATACTCAGTACCGTCAGCATAGACTTGTTTACCGCTGCCATGGCGTAATGCATCACACCAAATACCTTCATAGAACGCTTTCTCAGACTGGATGAAGTGACGGACAGTACGCGTCATCGTGTCAAGGGCTGCAGTATCCGAGCTAGACAGTGACATGAGCGATAAATTCGTTACACGCTCTGCACACACACACACACACACACACACACACACACACACACACACACACACACACACACATACACATACACACACACACACACACACACATACGCACACAAATATAAACACATACACACACACACACACACACACACACACACACACACACACACACACACACACACACACACACACACACACATGCACGCACACACATACACACAAACACATGTACACACATATACACACATATACCCACACACATGCACACACACATACCATTGTCAACAAGGAGAAAGAACGACTCGATTGAGTTTTTGAAGCCAAGATAAATAATATTATTAATACCTCCCATGATCATACTGATGACTCGCATAACCTGAGTGGGTTTTTAGCAGGGAGTGCTATTTTTACTACTCCATTGCTCGCTAAGGGCCAGGTTCCACTTCGGCTCCGCTGCTCCATTGCTCGTCTTTCGCGGCTTGAAACGTCATCATTACCATAGTGACCGCGGCTCGAGGTGGAGCAGCGAGGCTGCGGCTCACCGCGAGCTTTCGCTACGATTCTTGATCAAAAACTGCGAGCCGCGGTCGCGGCTCGCCCAGATTTGCCCCTAGAGGCGGGGAAATCGCTTTTGTTGCAAAGACTTGAAAGAGAAAACGTGTACCAGTTGTACCAAGAGTCCAGTAGTTCACCAAGTGCACAACCTGAGGTCATGTACTCTTCTTCGTTGTGCCTACAATTGTTGTGTGAATATTATTGCTGAATATTATTGTCAATTTATTATAGCATGGGAACGAGTTATTTTTGATCAGGCAATCTCGTGGCCAGCAAGCAGTATTGATTGTAGCTGTCTTTAGCTTTCGTTTTCACGTCCTTTCCTTTGTTTTCACGGCCAAGATGACTTTTACATGGAGTAAAGATTTGGAAAAGGCACTGCTAGAGCTGTGGCACGTTGTGGGGAAGAGATTCGACAAGAAGATGAAGACAGCAAAGGAGAAGAGGAAATGGGTGAGGAAACGATTAATTGAGATGAAGGCGGAGGGAACAATATACATTGCACCAGGAGCAGGGGATGTTGACGACCTGACTGACGAAATCGTCAAGAATAAAATCGACGGCCTGAAACGGACTGGGCGCAAGAATATGGATAAATTTGTAGTGCCAGCATTAAAAAGAAATAAGAAGGAGCCACCGACTGGATCAGCTGTGGACGATGACAATGTGGACCGAGGTGATGTCGTTGGTATCCCTCTCGACTGGGAGGATTTGGAGAAGAAGTCCAAGTGGCACCTGATACACACATACTTTACTTTATTTGGCGACCACCCAACTTGGGGTCCAGGTCTCGGTGGTGCTGTCCACACCGCAATAGTAGTCGAGGATTCAGCTGCCAACTGTGCTGATGACGGAGAGACATGCAAAGCGGAGCCTCTAGCCACTCCAAGCACCAGTGACTTTGAAGTTGACCAACTTCACAGCCCAACCCTGAAGAGGAATCGATCAGAGGACAGCGATGATGATGCTGATGCTGATGATATTGCCACACCCGTCACACCAGCCGCAACGATGAAGGCCGAGAAAAAGGATATTCTAGCAGGTAGCACAAACACCACGGGTGGCAAGTCAGCAACGTCAGTTCCTTGCACAGTACGCTGAAATCCAGGAGAAGCATGAAGAGAAAGAGCATGCGTCTCAGGTGCGTATCCATTTTGATTGTCTCTGACCATGAATGTATGTCGTAGGAGCATAGTAGTGATATTTGGTGCATTTGGTGCATTGAGCACCGGATGTATAGCAATAAAGAATGTAGAAATGCAAGACTATGGTCTATTGAACACCTTGGATCATTCATGATAAATGCTCGTTTCTTTTGACCAGTTGCGTCGGAAGATTATC